TCTGTAGGACCATTTTCTGATATGGGGGGGTCCAGCTTTATGGCAAGCTGGACCCCCCCCCCATTTTTTACGCGATTTCCTGCTAAACGGTTCGAGCACCAAAATTCGGACTAGGGCACTTAATTAGCACATAAATAGCACTAAATTTTTGACTTAGTGCGAACTTGATTTGCGCTGGTGGGGGGTCCAGCTTAACAGAGGTAATCGGCACGTAATAATTCACGGCATTCACGCGTTTTGCACCGTTGTTGCTGCTGTTATTGCATCCTTTAAAGGCTTTTTCGCTGTCTAGGCTCTGAGAAGTTGACCATCAGTACAAGCGATCGCGACAAGACTGATTATATAAAATTAATCTAGTATACGCGACAACTCCTAAAAGTAATGATGTGGTGGTGGGGGAAGGGGGAGGGGAAAATAATGTTTATAAAACTGCGCAGTGGATTTTTTTAGGAGAGGGGGAAGTAAAACCTACTCTAACGGTGATGATGGGGGAGGGGAGGGAAGTAAAAAAGAAAACATTATAAAAAGTTATATATAATTTATTTATTTAAAAAAAATCGCAAATTTTTATGGCGTCGCGCGCGACTATCAGTTAAATAGTTTTATTACATTTTGTAACGCGCAATTCTTTTCATGTTTTTCGCATCTCATAGTATTGGTGTCATCTAGTTTATTCAAAAATTCGATGTCTTCATCCAGAGTCTCGACGATTAGGTTTTTTCGCGCATAATTCTCCAGCAGATCCACCAGCCATTCTCGTTTCTGGCATCCCTTGACGTACACGAGAGTCGGCATCTCGTCGTCATCGTCTTCTTCTTCTTCTTCGTCTTTTTCTACACCAAGCACGGTCGATGTAATCAGGCGTTTCACCATGCTGTACGGCACGTTTCCGTCTTCCCATCGTAATCCATGGTGATTGCGAATCAACCAGATGGCGCACGATTTGTCGGATTTTGTGAGGAGATTCCACGGCATAGGGTACGTATATAAAGATGTGATTTCTGCCGTGCTCTGAATGTCAACGTGAAAAAATTCAAGCAAGCGCGGGTAAACGGCGGGAGTAATTATAAGTGCGTTCTGTTTCACGCATGATGCGCATAGAAGCGCACAAGATCGTTCCGTTTCACTCCATATGCAGTTCATGCGCGCAAGGGAACGTTCTCCCACCACAATGCCGCGCATTGTTGTGCAGCGCATGAGAACGCATGAGCTGCCTCAGCTCCCGAGATGATGTAGTCCATGCGTGGTCCATGCGCGAGAATTATTTTAGGCGGGAAGGAGGGAAAAACGGACCGAGACAATGCACTCATGCGATGCGCTGCGTTTCATGCGGTTCATGCATGAAACGGAACGCACCCTATGACTCTCTTAAGGGGTAGGGGGCTGCCACCCTCAGTCACTTCCTGCCCCGTGGAATTGTAGTTGCTCGTTCGCAAGGAGGCGTAAGATAATGAAGAATAGAAATAAGGAGGACGAACTTCATGTTTCGAGATAAGCTCAAAACCCGGTTACAGTAGTAGTTCGAAAAACATACACCGACAGCGCTACGATCGACAAACTGGCATCTGGCAGTCGTGGAGTCGGGAAGAGACAGGAGGAGATAGGATATGGTGGGATATGGGGTCTGCAGGAGGAATTGCTCCGCGTAGCATTTCTTTAAGCTTAGCGCACTTATGGACCCAAGTTTTTGACACTTGGCTGTATTGACCTGTGACAAGAGGCAGGAGCCCATAATTAGAAGAAGGATTCCCAATATCGTGGACTTACACAGGTATGTACACGTTACAGACACAGATTTTTGTACTTTATTAATTGATTTAAACAATCAAGGATTGTATACATTCAAGTACAATGTAGTTTCCAGAAACATTCAAGTATGAAAAACTCAGATATTGGAGTGTGTGTTAAAAAAAATAATGTAGGAATTGAGGAAAATAAGTGAGGTCAGTATACGTCCCGAGATTTTTAAAACACCATTGTGTGATTACATAAATTATTTTGCGAAATTAAATTTGTTTATTTTTCTATTTTGCAGGAATCCAATAATCGATTATTGGATTACAGAAGTTGAAGCAAAATTCGAAATCTTAAAGAATGTTTTTGAAAATGATAAATAAAACTGAAATAAGAATATGAAAATAATATGTATACAAAGAGAGAGAGGGAAGAGAATAAGTACTATTCTCTTTTATCCACGAATTGTACATAAATAATACTTGATAACATAATTAAGAAATTGTATAGATAATATTTACCATGGAAAATTACTCAATTAAGTATAATGATCTAAGGGCGGCGGTGTGGTCTAGTGGTAGAGCGCCAGACTCGTAATCTGAGGAACCAGGTTCGAGTCCACTAGAGCCATATGAATCATGGAACAGTTTTTTTCCGAAAAAACCGCGCCCCTCCGTGCAGATGCGGAGAAAACTGGGCTCCGTCTTTCGGAAGAGACATTAAACCGTTGGTCCAAAGAAGGAAACAGTAATGAATTGGAGGTTAGGGTTGGGTACATCCCTTCAAAACGCCCTTTAAGGCCCCTTGGGGTATATAAAGATAAAATTCTTTATTCTTTTAAGTATAATGATCTACCTCCAATAACATTTGAATATTTGAAAAAAAATATGCAATTAATAAAAAAACCAGATAATTGGGCTACAGTCGAGTATGAGAAATGTATAATATTTGTTGAAATATTGAACAATCTAGAAGAAAGAATGAAACTTGTTATAAAACATGATTTAGAAGTTGATATATTACGTAATAATGAACTGTTATCTTGGATGACATGTAAAAAAATTAAATCAATAGATCAATTATCCGGAGTAATAAAAACATTAGATCGTTTATGATTTTAATGAGTCAATTTTGAGTTACATTTTTTGTTATTTAGTACGACATATTTTATATCTTACCGGAAAATAAATACAGCAAATGTAACGAATAATATGAAAATTTGAAAAACTTTATTTAATCGTACAAGATAACTATAATGTATGTATGTCTATAAACTATTATGCTTTTTAACATATTCTTGCAAGTATTGCAATTTAAAAATATGAAGTAATAAAAAAATGTAATCTTATAATCTCTTTTAAATCATTGTATTTGTATATATAACCCCAAGGAGATATATATGTAACACTAAAGTATATATTATATATTATATAATCTTCAATAAAATATCACATATAATCTGTAACCTTATAATCTTATAATCTCTAATAAAATATCTTTCATAAACTTTTTCAACTTAGTATTCTAATTATTTGTATCATAAAACATACTACAACTTAGCATCTTTGCGTGCTCGGCGCGTCTTTTGTCTTTTTGTACATTTGTTGGCATTGTACCGCTTTGCTAAAAAATCAGCACGAATTATCACATAAAAACTCATCACAGACGTAGTAAATTCTCTTTGGTGCAATGGACATCCTACTAAAGGTAACTCAGACTGCAATTCTTGAAGCGCGTAGCTCATGTGAAATACAGTATCAGAATTGATGGATTCTACTTTAACAATGTCTAATATCGTTTTTTCCATCAGTTGTACCAATTTTATCAAGTCGTCAGATGGATGAATCAGATATCCTCGAGATAGCAATGCAATCATCCGATGGTCCTTACAATTTGGTGATACTCGCAAACTTTGAATGCAGTCATCACATTTAGTCCACTTTTCGGCTTTTCGAACTACATATCCAGCCATGTATTCGATAATAGAAAAAGAAGGATCTTGTGTTGCCATTTTTTCGTTTGCAATTTGTTTATTTATCTGATCCATATTATCGTTGTTGGGTTTGCCGTGTTCGATGATACTGTCCATGATCTTTATCCATTCTAATCGTCCAGCCTGACTTGCAGGTATGTTTGAAAAATTTAACAGGGAGTGAAGCATTTCACCTCCAGAAACATTGCTACCCTTACATGGTTTTATCAAAGAATACATGCTCATGAGACGAAACATCTGGCCAAACAATGTTGAATCAGGATGGTCGTTTGACCCGCATACTCCTCTCGCCAAACCGAAGAAGCGTTCCAAGGCATCTTGATTCAACCTTGCAGTCATTAAGTATTTATAGTTGCACTCGTAAGTCAAACATCCAAGTATTTCTAGAGTAACTCTCAGCGTAATCTTCAAGCCATAGAGAGCACGTGCTTTCCGTTATAAAATAAAAACCATTTTTCTTTGCAGTTATTTCATATTCGTGTAAATATTCGAGAAACTCAGTGATTACCTAAAACAATAATGTTATATGGTCGTTAATAACCTGGGTAGTTGATGTAACTTCACAAAAGTACAGACAAAAGTTAGAAAAATGTAAAAAAATAAAAATTCTTACGGTTTCTTCATCACTACCAGGTTTCAAAGCTTTATTGGGAGTTCGAGACATCATGACTTCTATCAGCCTGTTTATTCGTTTGATAAATTGAATTGTTGGTTGACAATCCGCAAGCTCAGGATGATATTCCTGATATATAAACATAGAAGCAGCGACTCGATCTTCGAATAACTAAAAATAAAATGCATATATAGAAATCAGAATATAATTTTTTTTTTTACTTCTTTGCAAGCTATTTTTTTACTTGAAACGCCATCGGTAGGTACATTCATTTTCTGATAATATTTTGGATCTAAATGGTCAGGTTTTAATTTATGAGTAACTTTCAAACCATAAGGGTGATGTTCGGACTCTATTACTGCCTTCCAATGTTTCTTTTTTATCACTCCATCGGGTGTCTGCAAAGCATAAAATATTACTATAAAATGGATGCATGTATTCAAAGCGTATCAAATAAAATATGTTATCCACATTAAACTATAATCATATTAGAATGAGCACAGTTTGAATCACTCGAGAATAAAGAAGTGCTTATTCTACTATGATTATAGTTCAATGATTACCCATATCTCCAGTTGTGATGTAATAAAATTACGGAAGTTTTTTATCAGATGAGGGAAATCAGACAAAAACCATAACTTTCTTTCAGGATCGTAAGGATGTTAACAAGAAATATTACTTTCGGTAATTCCAAATTTCTTCCACATACTTCGATTCCACGTTGCACCATCACAACGAAATCCACTCTTTTCAAGGAGTATGATGCATTCAAGAACGAGGTATTGCAATACATTATTGTTGGCACAACCCTTGCTGAAAAAGCATGCAACCACCTGTACCCACGAGCCGCGAAACGGTTGATACATGAACACAAGAGCATGATCACCTAGTTTATGTTCTTGAGATTCAGGTGTATAATCGCCTAGGTTTACAAATCCATGAAACAGACAGGAATCTCTATCAAACTTTAAGGCTTCAGACAGTTTCATTTCATCAGCAAGGAGAATACCTGCACAGAGAACAATATAAATAATATTTTCTTTCTCAAATTAAATTTCCCACCTTGCAGTAATAATATACATACCTCTTTTTTCAGCCGGTTCCATCTGCTCAGCTTTTGTACGCAACATATCAAACATGGTGCTACTAAACCCATATATGTACTGCCTATGCATTTCACATACTTATTCACAGTGTCAACATGAGGTAAAGCAAGAATCTCATGTGATCTCAGATGCTCGTAGAGCTTTCTGTTTTTAATCCTCATGAGTAAACATCCATTGTTTAGTGTATCGTCGTCCTTTACTCTTTACTTTCGCTGAAGAGAAGCATGCTCTGACCGCTTCCTGTTGCGC